AACAAGAATTGGAGTGTACAAGAACATATAAGAAGTTTTTATTTACCAAGAGTATTTCCTAATTCAGTGAACTGTTCATTCAAGCGATCCCTCCTCAATTTCTCCCGATCGGCCTTCTGCACTTTTCTTGCAGCAATAGAATCCTTCAGTTCTGCTTCTGGCCTTTGCTTAGTGTTGTCAGGAAAGAAGAATACCAGAACGAATAATTAGCACTAGAAGTTGGCAAAAAAATTCTCAGAAGTTGGATACAGAACCTAAATTTCATTATAACCTATCATAGGTAAGAAAATTAAAGAAGAACGAATTACACAATAAATCACTCCATAAACCCACCTTGCAGTATTTTAGCCCAGTTCCAAGTTTGCAAATGCGTAGCCAAATATCAATAAGCTCAGATCCGAAAAAAGTTTTTTCGTTTTTTTTATTTCTCCAAATCTTCATGCGTGAAATATCCGTGAGTTTCCATTCTCCTTTTTCCTCAAGTTTATAAAATAGACGCGACAAACCTAAAATCTCATCTTCAATGTTAATCTTGTTAAATTTCAAATATGATTTTGTGAGAAATTGGGAGTGAGTATTGTTTGAACTTATTAGAAATAGTCTAAGTAGGCTGTATACAAAGTTTGAAGTCATTTGATGGAGATCAGTGAAAATTGTACAAGAAGTTCGTTAGAGATTCTTATATACTTTTCTACAACGTTATACACTTTTATACAAAGAGGTAAATTATATATATAGTTGTATAAAGTATATAAGCACTATAGTATAGTTGTATAAAAGTGTATAAAGATGTATAAGCACGATAGAAGAAGAAGGAGGAAGAACAAAATGTGAGAAATTCACCAAATACATGTTAATAATGCATCAACCTTGTACACAATAGTGTATAAGAGTGTTTATACACTTTTATATACTATTTATACAATGTTATACACTATTATACAAATGAATCCTATCAGTGGAGCTTCACGGGGTCTTCTTCTTCTTCCTCGGGGATCTTCTGAAATTTAACTCAAATCTAGCTTAAATTGATTCCAAATCACTTCAAATTTAAGTTTTGAACTCCTCTTGATGTTTCCAATTAATTGGGACAACACCCAATCCAAATAATTAACAAATCAGAAAACCCAAATTCCGAAATCGAAGCTTCGAAAGGCCTTTAATGGTGACTTCTATTTTTCAACTTTTTAATCAACCACTGGGATTAAAATTACGTGTGGAATGAGGATAAGACTGAGGCAATGCCAACACCTTATTTCTAGTTTGGTGATCTAACAACCTGCCAAGTGAACCTCTTTAGTGCAAACACAATTGTCTCCATTCCAATGGAGGAAGTGATCTTTATATGACTCCAAAAAACCAATTCTTTTACGTATTGTTTTTTCTTCTTCATCCAGTGGTTATCAGCTTTGAATGGGGAAGAAGAGTTGAAGGAGAATAATAATGGTAGAGAAATTTTAGGGTGCAAAGTCAGGACACAGGGAGAAGAAGAACGAAGAAAAGAAAAGAACAATTAATAAGGGTGAGCTAACGGGTGAAAAGTAATTTTCAGGTTATGTACAACCTGGGCCACACCGGATAAGGGCTTCAAACGTGGGCTATTTTCTGAAGGGTTGTTCGGCCAAGTGATAAGGCGTGTAATTTTCCCGTTAAAGAAAAGAAAATACAAGAAATTCTTTTTATTTTACATGTTGTTACTTGGATTTTAATTTGTGAGATTTCAATACATTTCGTGATGGTAGTTTATCTGGTCCATCCTTCTAAGTAGTACACAGTAAATAGTAGTACATATGAAACAGTTAAACTAGGCTAGTAATGCTACTTAAATTGGAACATTTACCTGTGTGCTGAAAAATCTTTTAAAAAATACACCTACATGCTTATACAGTAGTAAGATTCCATGTAATACCCAAAAACGCTGGGTATAATTCCATGGTGAATTGATTTTAGAAAAGTTCTTTTTTTTAATGAAAGATTCTAGCAAATATTATACGAGCTACTTTACAACATTTCCCTATTTGGTGTTCCGGTTTCATAAATGAGGATATGCTCTAAAGAATTTAAAAAATAAAAACTATAGGTTAAGCTTTTATAAGTTAGTATAAATATCCAAGAGAGAGCGTTTCACTTTTCCATTCCTTTTAACACTTCCATTTCCTCAAAAGAAAAACCCATGTGGCGTCTTTGGAGAGTCCTTGCAATGTAGTATCCTAAAATTGATAAAATAGTTCGTAATCATATTTTTTATTTACTCATCTTGACTCTTGACAATGAGATTCAGCACTAAAGGATGTGGTTTAATGGTCGATGAAGTTAGAATGGATCATGGAATACCAGGGTTCAAATCCAGTAGATTCAAAGAAGCTAGGTGATTTTTCCCTATCTGTTTGGTAGACAAAGTTACCTAATTCTTGTGCCAGCTGAAAGTAGCAGGTATCCGGTGAACTAGTCGAGGCGTGCACAAGCTGGCCTAAATACTACTGTTACCAACAAAAAGAGAAGCTATTTACAATGAGATTCCATTTGTCTTATAGGTGAGAACTCTAAAAGGATACAGAGAGATCAAGGTTCTCTATGGTGTTTCTTTATTGTCTTCTGACGTAGATTTTTTAAAGTAATGTGCAGTTTGCTCCATAATTGCATAGACTTTGTTGGCTTAACATTGCTCAAGAGAAATCTTACATGTACCTTCTGGGATCAAAATTTCTCTTTATGCCTAGTGAGGCTCTAAATTCAACAACAAAATGCATGTGCAATTATTGTGCGCAAAAATAATTCAACACATTTTTGCACAAAGCTAAACAGTAAGCTGCCTTCTGCTTTCTTCGGATACTTGACAAGAAAGTTCCAAAGAAGCCAACAAGAAAGTTTCAAAGTGCTTTACTTTTTGCACTTGCTTAGTGATCCTTATTCTAATGTAATTCCTTATCATTTATCAAAAGAAAGATTAACAACCAAATTAAACAAGTCTTGAGTGACGAGTCCTTCTGAGTTCCTAAAGAACACCCTTTCTCGAGTATTCTTACCTTAACAAACTTTAGTTGCTCCTCTGAATTCTCATTGACCACAAAGAAAGTTTTTAGCAAGTGTCCTAACTTTTATCCCTGTGGTACTGGTATCTTTGTTTTGGGATAGTTTCCTATTACAGCTCTAAAGTATCTTAAAACATCCAATCTTACTGTCCACAGATGAAAACGTACTCCTAGCTTTAGAACACATGCATACATTAGGTTTCCACTGTGTTAGAACATGGCACAACTATACCAGCAGCTTTCTCCGCCTGCAATTTGGGACCTTGAACTTCCAACAATTCTAATTTGCATTTGCCATAGTTCAGGACCACTGAACCGGTATATATATATACTTTAGCCGTTTGGCCATAGATTTTTGGCTCACTAATTTGAAATAATATTTGGAGATTATTTCAATTTATTTATCAAATTGGTCCATTATTTCAACTTCAAACTTGAAATAAAGAATTTGAAGTTTGAAAAACAGGTTTTTTTCAAGTTTTCACTCACAAAAAATCAGCAGTGTTTTTATGTTCAAGCACAACTCAACTTCCAAATACCCTTTCCAACATCAACTTCAGATACTACTTGTTTTCAAATCCCAGCCAACTCATGTCAACCTCCACACAAAAAATTCAACTTCAATCCCACAAATTTCTTTTCAACTTCAGCTATATGTACTCTCTCACATAAACAAGCTGCATAAAGCACACACTGAAGTAGTATCATTTAGAAGAACCAAAAAGATCCTATGTTTTAATAAACTAGTCGTCTAATACTCACACCTCCACTTTTTTAACCAATTAAGTAAAAGATTCACGGTTTGGGACAAAATCGAGTGAGTTTACAATGTTAAGTCGGTGGATGCATAGCTCCAATGAATCCAATACTCCTTTATCAATTAATGCAGTCTTTTATATAATATAATATATCCTCTCAGGGACATTCTTAGCCGTCCTATGAGGGTTAACAACACATAGATTAGATCATGAACTCTTTCAGATCCTCAGTTTCACTTGATGGATGAAGAGTTTCAACTTGCCCGTCCACCGAATATACAAAACTTTAGAGGAAATTCAGTCTTGCTCACTTAGAATCTGAGTCTAGTTCTGCAATTTAACACCTATAGGAATGTGATTGCTGGGGAAAATGAGGAGGAAATATATCAGCCTATCAGATTAGATGGCCTAGTAGTTGAGGCATGGGAGTAACAACCTGGAGATCCCATAATAAAATTCCAGCTGCAACACTCAGGTTTTAAGACTACTTTGGCAATATGTTCTTCTTCTTGTGGATTGAACAAACTGTCTTGCCTAGTTGCCTGTGTATTACTGAAAGCTGGCCCAGATACCGTTATATTTCTAAAAGTTATTTTTTGCTATAACAAACACCCGTTCATGGAAAGAAGAGAGGTAGGACTAACCTGGAATCAGGAGGAAGCTGAGTTGAGTCAGATACAGATGGATTTGGGATATGATTTGATTGATACGAAGTCTGGCACTTTAATTCATCCATTCTCAGCTGCGACTGGGAAATGGGAATTATACACCGCCTTCCGAACTTTGAAATCGATGGCGAAGAATTGAGAGATGTCACCGTCACGCTGTAATTGTGCTTCCAGCAGATATTTGGGGTAACTCGTGTAAGGCACACGCAATATTTTGTTTCCGCACTGCACTTTCGATGCAAGATTCCACCATTTACAACAATCCTTATCTTTAGGAAAAATGAAAAGGATACTTCTATTACTTATTCATTTATCCTTTATTTTTTTCTTGCGAGCATTTTGCACCCCTAGTAGAATTATTTTATTTATTGTTCCCACTTTTTTATTTGTGACCTAGTACCCATTTTTTGACACTTTTACTTGTACAATTTTTAAATATCAACGTTACAACAACAATAACAACATATCAAGTTTGATTTCACAAGTAAAATCTGGGGAAGGTGGGATATAAGACCATCCCTGCCTTGTATAAGGTAGATATATTGTTTCCGATAGACCTTCGGCTAAAGAAATATATTTTCAAAATAAATTTAAAAAAATATATGAGCAAAAAAGTTATGATGAAAATACTATTAAAAAAAGAAAGTATTAACTGCAAAAATAGTAAAGGTAACTAAAATAAACGGAATAACTATAGTAATAAAATTAAAGAATAAAATAATAATGAACGAATAATACAAATAATGATAAGGAGAAGAGGGAGCAGATAGGGTTCTCTAAACCAGAATCATGCTCTCTCGTGGAGAAGAGAGAAAACACTTGGCTACCTACTAATTTTCTACCCTAATCCTCGACCTTTATGCTCTCCTATCTAGCTTCATGTCCTTGGTGAATTGGAGATGTGCCATCTCTTGTCTAATCAGCTCTTCCCAATTCTTCCTCGGTCTACATCTACCTTTCCTTAGACATAACACTACTAACATCTTGCACCTCCTTACTGGGCATTTATGTTCCTTCTCTGCAATCTTCACATACTTGAATTATCTTAGTCTCGCTTCTCGCATCTTGTCCACCATGGATGCCACCCTCACTTGCTCTATATATATTTATTCTTAATCTTATCTCTCTTGGTATACCCTCGGATCCAACTAGGCATCCTAATTTTTCATACTTTCATTTTCTAAACGTGTGAGTTCTTGACTGTCCATACAACATAGTTGATCTAACAACCACTTTATAGAACTTATCTTCAAGTCTCGGTGGCACATTTTTATCACTTAGGACACCGGATGTTATCCTCTATTCCATCTACCCGACTCCAATACGACGTGTGGCATGATCGCCGATCTTTCACTTTTCTTAGATTATTGATCCAAGATACGTGATGCTTTCTCTCTTTAGGATGACATGTGTACCAACCCTCTTTTTCACATCCGCCTCATGCAATGCACCACTAAACTTGCCCTCTATGTACTATATCTTAGTCCTACTCAACCTAAAAAATTTAGACTCTAAAGTCTGTCTCAAAACCTCCAGCCTATCGTTAACTCATATGTGTGTTTCGTCAATCAATACTATGTCATATGTGTGTGTGTGTGTGTGTATATATCCTCCCCTTGAATATGCCATATCAATTTATCCATCACCAAGGTAAACAAAAACGAGCTAAGAGTTGATCTTTGGTGCAACCTCATCTCAACTAGGAAGTGTTTCGAGTCTCTTCTTACTGTTCTAACTCGGGTCTTGGCTCCATCTAATATGTCTTTAATTTTTCTAAGATATGCCACATGTACATATCTAGACTCCAAGCCTCTCCGTAAAACCTCTTTAGAACTTTGTCATATGTCTTTTCTAAATCGACGAACACCATATATAAGTCTTGAATCCAATTTGGATATTAAAAGAATTATCACATATAACACAAAATTTCTCCACCTATTCCTTCGGGGAATAGGTCTAACCACCTTTACTTCCCAATCTGGCATGCTATAGTTACTAAAGTCTCTCGACGGTGGGAGTGAGAGATTACTGGATGTGCTCAACCGAAATGGTAAGGGCAAGAATACTTAGATGGAAGTAGTTCAGGATCGATACAATTAAGACAACTAAGTAGAGGATGGGAAGATGTGAGATTAGCTAGAGGTGATTCTATATAGCTCTTACACTTTTACAACTCGTATTATTTTATTTAAAACTTTGTGAAATCGTTCTTTTACTTGCTATAAGTATTTCGCTCTAGCTCTCTAGTTCTCTTAACTAACGTTATATTTTTTGAATTAGCCCTTTGACCTCTTGTTTCAAAAAAGACATTGTGATTTCGATCGAAAAAGACGAAAATTTATGAAAGTGGACTTATTGCCCTATGTCTTACCTATAAAAAAAAGAGGCTAGAACGTATTAGCAAATATGACTTGCTTTTTTCCTTTCCCTATACTGCTCCAACAATCTCCCTAAAAGATGAATGGTTTCTGTAGTTGATCACCCCGATATGAATCTAAATTAGTTCTCAGAAATAAACACATCCCTCCTTATCCTTATCTCTATCACCCTCTCCTAAACTTTTATAGTGAAGTTTAGTAGTTTGATAGCTTATAGTTGTTGCAATTTCGAATATCACATTTGTTCTTGTACAAGGAGATCAGTGTAATCCACCTCCATTTTTCGTCCAATTTAGTCATCCTAAAAATGGCATTAAACAACATAGTAAGCTACTCCAAATATTATAAGTTTTTAAATAAACACTTCAATTTGAAACTCAACAATCATTAACCAACATATATGTATCATTAATTTGATTTAGTGAAATCGAGCGGGTTGGATATAAGCAAAGAGAGGTAAATTCCATTATTTCATCAAGAAATAAAAATAAAATGGAATGAAAAATAAAATAATATCCTTTCTCTTCCTCCGCCTGCCCATTTTTTTCACCCTTCATTTTTTCTCACCTCCCTCCCCCCCCCCCCCCCCCCAGGGCCCCCTTGTCCTTCTTCCTGTTACTTTTTTCCTCCTCTCCTTTTTAACTTGTACTCTAAATTTTAAAAATGTCATTAACAACATATTTTGATCATCACGTACGTAAATAATTCTACTAACTTATGTTTGCAGAAGATTGGCTAAATAGTTTATGTCATTGTTGAAGAATTTCTCAAGTGCTTGCCTAGCGAAAGTGGAGATTATACTTCAAACTTGTTTGAATCTAACTATATTTTGGATATTATAAGTGTTAACGTGAGGCATCGTGTGCGGAGAATATTATGTTAAGGCCAATGATGTCATATTTTGAAATATGTAAATTAGGCCAATGATATTGCGTTCATTAACATGAAATATCTTGATTCTCACTTCCCTTCACTCTCAAACACATCACTTGAAGATCCATATTATCACTTCATCCCGACAGTATGTACATAACAAACACATAAATATTCACCAATAAACCACGTCCCTATTCATATGATCTCTCTCACATTTTCATTTTTATCACTTTTTCTATATATAATTATTTTACCTTTATTGTAAGACCACCAGCCCTTAACCACTATAGCCCCACCTTGACTATCACAATATTATTGATTTAAAAGCTAACTACTATTAACATGGATTTGTTTTTGCATTGAGCGGTTGATCTATAGCTCACTGCTATTGATGATATGAGAAGGACTAGTGATGGAGTTTCGACAGGTGGAAATTCAACTTGATGATGCAATTGATCATTATTTGAGTTCCATTATAGGATGATTTGAAGCATAAATATGGTTAATTTGAGCTTAGGGAATAGAGACCTTGTCGTTGTCGCTAGAACCATGACCCCCTTCTTTAAATTTCTAGAGCAAATTTGGACCATTTCGCATAGTAAGGGTAAATTCGACCATTTTCCTTGAAAAGGACTCATGTGTTGGAAAACTAGTGGGCTATTCATCTTTTGAAGAAAACTATCAAATAAACAGATAATTATCTCTATCCATAAATTTTTCACCCACGTTCACAAGCATCTTCCATTTTAACTGCTTAGAAACTGCCACTTTAATCTTATTCGTACACTACCTCCCATAATTTTGTTGTTTCTCCTTTTAAAGCAAAACAAGTACATTCAATACTATAGACACTATTTATAGTACATTAGGAAACGAATTGTGCAAGTCCAACCACAACTAGAGTTTATGACTGTGAAACAATGATAGATGATATTACTGAACGATTACACAAATTTGTGCTTACTGAAGAGGAAACAGAAGCTGTATCAATTGGCTTTGTAGATATTCAACAAAGCATGAATGATTCCGAAGTAAGCTTATTGGGTAAGGTAATCTCTGATAAAAAGACAAATGTTAATAGATTTAACAACGCGATGCCTTTAGTTTGGGAAATCCAATGGGTTTGCAGATTAAAGAAGTTGGGTGGAACTTCTTTCAATTCATCTTCAAAAATAAAGAGAGTATAAAAAATATGATTTGGTGCACCATGGTTGTATGATAGATACCTCCTTAACGTTCATTCATGGGAAGTAGGCTTAAAAAGAGATTCTCCGATTTTCAACGTGTGCAACATGTGGATCCAAGTTTCGAATATTCCTCTGTATTGGATGCTTATGGATGTGGGACGTAAAATCAAACATGCTCTAGGAGGTGCAATGGATATTGTAAGTCGAGAGAATGGAAGCAGAGAGGGAACACACATGAGCCTTAAAGTTATAATGAATATTAATAACTAATACTAAGGGGAAAACTGATAACTTTGGGTCTCAAAACAATATGGGTTGAAATATGTTATGAAACATACCTTATGTCTACTTGTATTGTGGTATGTTTGGCCATAATGATAAACCATGTGTGCAGAAAGAGAAAGATATATACCACGATCCAAAATCCATTAAAGGTCGTGATGGCGCCTAACGCAGCTGTCAGACAAGCCAGCAATAAATGATTAACTTGATTACTCATTTTAGTATTTTTGAAATCATAATTTCCTTCAATTAAATAATATGAGATAAAATTTACAGAGTAAATGATAATGTTTTCACTACTACTATCCTAAACCCCCAAAACCCAGTGTCACAAGCGCATGAGCATCAACTAGGAAGCGACTTGGAGACTGCAGATGTGGAAATCGCTGGGCAGAAAGTAAAAAAGGCCTTCTTCGCGAATTTCTGCCATTTCTTCACCATTTTTGAACAAGTTGGAGCTTAGGAGCTGTGATTTCAAGAGGGAATCAAAGTGTTTTCAGTGAGGTAAGCTACTTGGGCCTTGTATATTGTATTTATGGCGATTATTCCATTGTTTAA